CACCACCATGCCCAGTTTTACGTGGTGCTGGGTAATGAACCCCTGGGCATCACATATGCTAAGTAAGTGCTTTACTACAAAACAAAATTCCCAGCCCAAGAAAAGTTTTAATTTGGAACAACTTAACATGTTGGGAAATAGGAGTCTAACACCTGGGCTGTTGCTGCAACTAAGCGGTTTAGATCTTTTATTCCTTTCTTTCCTTTTTTTAATTAAAAATGCATTTATTATTTTGTTTGAGATAAAATCTCATTGAGTATTAGCTCCGACTGGCCTGGACTTGCTAAGTAGAACTAGCTTGCCTCAAACTCTGTGTGATCCTCCTGTGTCTGTTTCCTAGGATTACAGGTTATGTACATCCAGGCTTAGCTTTGTGAATCTTTTGTGGAAATGCTTTCAGTATCAAATAGGTGTGCACAAGTAGAATTCATTAATCTTGATACATCACACCAGTTATGGGATGTTGATTGTGGTTTTTGCTGGTCAGAGGTCAGTGAGCATCATAGATTCCCCTGGGAATTTAAGAAAACATGATCGTCTCATGCCTTTTGATACCAGTATTCCAGAAGCAGAGACAGGCAAATCTCTGTGAATTCAAGACCCGCACAACCAATTCCCAACCAGCCAAGACTATAAAGTAAAACCCTGTCTGAAAGAAAAGAAATACTAGCCGGGTGGCGGTGATGAAAAACAGCAACCACACAATAAACAAAAAGAAAAAAGAAAGGAAAAGAGAAGAAAAAAGGAAGAAATATTCCTTGCTGTTGGGGGATGCAGCTCAGTTGCATGCATGAAGCCCTGGGTTTGGCCCCCCCCCCTGCCCCCAGCACTTCATAAAAACACAAAGGGGCTGGAGAGATGGCTCAGTAATTAAGAGCACTTCTAAGTTCTGTTCCCAACATGTACACTGGGTCATTTACAACCACCTTTAACTCTAGCTCCAGGGGATCTGATGCCCTCTTCTGGCCTCCACGGGCACCTGTATACACATGGAATGCTCTCTGCTCTCCACCACACCTTAAAAAAGAGCCACAAAACAACAACAAACCCTTTCCTTGTTCCATCGCTCTGTTTCTAGAGTTACTGGCTTTCTTGGGCACAGCAGAACCTCATACAGGGCTGACCTTGGAAGTCCCACCAAGCAGCTCCATGGTAGGTAGCAGACCGGCTGGTGCAAAGCCTGTGAGAGGGGCTAGACAGTACCTAAGAGACAAGAAACTATGGAGTCCAAGATCCAGGATATCAAGGGCAGGTGAAGGACACACATCTAAAGCAACTTTAGGAGGGTCACCTGCTCTTACTATGGAGCTGATGAAAGTCTGAGTTCTCTCAAATATTTCATAAATGGAATTAGTTTGGGGCTGATGAGTCAGCTCCATTGGTAAAAATGCTTGCTGCACAGCCCTGGTAACTTGAATTGGATTCCTGGAGCCCATGTGAATGTGGCTGGAGACAGGTGACTCCACAGAACTGTTCTCTGGCCTCCACATATGCCCTTGTATCTACACATATACATTAGAAACACACAATCTAATTTTATAAATAAAATTGTAAAAATCAGTGTATTTTCCTTTTGGTTTTTGAGACAGGATTTCTTTGTGTAATCCTGGCTGTTCTGGAACTTGCTCCGTAGACCAGGCTGTCCTTGAACACACAGAGATCCTCCTTCCTCTACCTCTCGAGTGCTGGGATTAAAGGTGTGTGCCATCACTGCCCCACTGTACTTTCGCTGTGAATTTTAAGATGGATCTCTCTCTCTTATGGGTCATCACTGCAAAACACAGTGCTTGCTCCACAGGGCCCAAGAGTTTGGTTTGAGCTAAATATGTGTGACCATGACCAGGGGATATGGATTCAAGTTGTTCTGCTTGGCACTGCCCACCATAGGAGCAGTTATATGATAATTTTATAATCACAGAAGTATAAATCATTGCATTTACCAAAACAGGAAAACCCTGCTGTCGGTCTCAGATGCTACCTAACGGCATTCTTAGCTCTTGGGTTGGCAGAAGCTGGGGCCTGCTAGTAAGTTAGTAAGTCACTGCACTCCAGAGGCTCACATGGTAGTCAAAGTGATGCTAGGCCAGTTAGAGAGGCAGGGGATAAATGTCTTTTAAGGAACCAAAAAGCTTGGGATGGTAGTTCACAAAAGACACTAAGGCAGAAGAATTGCTGAGTTCCAGGTCAACCTGGACTATGCAGAGTTCCACACAGCCCAGTCTCAAACAAAACAAAAACACTAAGGGCTCAGTGATTAAGGGTGTGTGCTGGTTCTTTCAGAGGACCCTTGCTCAGTTCCAGTCTTACCGCGCCAGCACGGTCTGGAACCACGAGTCTCGGCGGAGGGTGTCCAGGTTGAATGAAATCCACAGAGCACGAGGTTGAGGTGAAACAGCAGCTCGTTTATTGTACTGCTGGGGCTAGCTTTTATACCATGGCACCAAATGGGGAAGGGGCTGCGAAGGGACTGTCACCTGACCCAAGGAGGAACTCTTACCTGACCCCAGTAGGGGTCAAGGACTGATCACATGCACTCCACCTTCACCTGTCCCCAGTAGGGACTGTCACCTGACCCCAGCAGGGATCAAGGAATAATCACGTGCACTCAAACTTCCTCATCCAACTCCAGGAGCAGAGGGAAGTTAAGATTCTTTGCAGATAAGCACCTCAAATGGGGGCAGGGAAATATAACTCGGGGTAGCAATTCCCACACAGTCTCCCATGTGAGGAGTCACCACTGACTGTAACTTCAGTTTCAGGAGACTCTCTAGCTTCCTTGAACACCAATTCTCATGTGTATATGCCCCCACAGAGGCACACACACCACATACAAATAATCTAAAATAAATATTAAGAAACACCAGACTCAAGAAACAAGAAAACTCAAGGGAACTAAAATTTACCCCAGATAATTTCGGCTCTAGAATGTGCAGCATTCTAGCTCCTCAGAACCATAGAATTCCAGTCAGTAAATTAGTCTGCAGAACCTTCCATTAGGTGTGACACAGGTCCACTGACCTCTGCTATTGTTGGAGTATTTGTATCCCCCTAAAGTTCTTCAATGAAATAATGGTAAGAAGTAGGGCCTTATTCAGGTGTGTGGTGATGCAAACCTTTAATGCCAGCACACCAGAGACAAGCAGGCAGATCTCTATGAATCTGTTTTACATAGTGAGTTCTAGAACAACCAGAACTACACAGTGAGACCCTTTCTCAAACAAACACCAAAACCTGAAATAAAACCAAACAACAACAAGGTGGGGATTCTGGGAGGTGGTTAGATTCTGAGGGTATGTCCTTTGTAAATGAGATCAAGACCTCTTCTAAGAGACCCTTCAACTCCCTACCATGTGAAGTCTTATTTCATCTTCTCTGGAGGACACAATGATAAACTGTCATTTTGGAAACAGAAATAAAGCCATGACCAGACACCGAACCTGCGGATAACTTATTTTGTATGTGTGTGTAATGTGTATGTTTATTTGTGTGTATGTGTGTGAGGACAACAAAAAACCTCGGGTGTTACTCCTCAGGTACTATTCATTTATTGTTTTATTATTTTCTACTTTTATGCGTGTGTGTGTGTGCTGCTTGCATATATGTAAGTGTATTGTGTGTGTACCTGGTACCCTCAGAGACCAGAGGAGGGAATTGGATTCCTTGGAACTTGAGTTACAGATTGTTGTAAGCTGCCACGTGGGTGCTAGGAATCGAACCCCTATCCTTTGAAAGACTATCAAGAAGACTATCAAGCACTCTAAACAGCTGAGCTATCTTTTCAACCCCCTAATTTTTCTTTCTTTCTTCTTCTTTTTTTTTTTTTGTAACAAGGTCTCATGTATCCTAAACGGATTTTAAACTACATAGACAAGGATGACTTTGAGAGCCTGATTTCTAAATGTTGAGATTTAGGCATGAACCATAAACACTGTTTTATGTGATGTTGGAGATCAGACGCAGGGCCTTGTGCATGCTAAGCAAGCTTTCCATCAGTTGAACTACATTACCAGCCCCATATTCATTTTCTTAAAGAGATTTCTTTATATGTATAAATGTTTTGCCTCACGTCTGTGTACTACATGAATGCCCGGTGGCTGAGGTCAGAAGATGGCATTAGCTTCCCTGGAGCTGGAGTTCTGGATAGTTGTAAACCCCTTGGGTGCTAGGAACAGAACCCGAGACCTTGACCAGAGCAACAAGTGCCCTTAACTATGGAACCATCTTTCCAGCTCCCTGTACCCATTTTCCTTTACCCGGTTTTTAATACTCCATTGCCATTTCCAAACTATTCACAGGATGCATTTAACAGCAAGAACATTAAACACACTGGACTGTAAACTCCTGAATGGTATTGAGTAGATTTAATTCCTTCTTGTATCTCTGTTGTCCTGAGTACAAACAGAAACTGGAATTTCCTTTTTTCCCCCTTCTTTTTTCTTTTGAAGGTTTATTTTTATGTGTATTGGTGCTTTTTGTTTGCATGTATATATGAGGGTGCCATATCCCTTGGAACTGGAGTTATAGACAGGTGTGAACTGCCATGTGAGTGCTAGGAATTGAACCCAGGTCGTCTGGAAGAGCAGACAGTGCTCTTAACTACTGGACCATCTTACCCAGCCTACCCCACCTCCTCTCTTTCTTCCTCTTTCTTTTTAAAGATATTTTTGAGACAGGATCCCACTGGGTTGCCAGACTGACATGGAATAGCAAAACAGACATGGAGTTGCAAAACAGAAGGTATTTCACAAAAAAGGAAGAGAGATGTTGCTGAGTGGAGGAAGCATCAGGAAGCAAGGAAATTTAGAACGGGAGGTGGGTGGGTGACAAAGCTTCTCAGTTACACAGTAGTACATGCCTGCAATTTTTGTACTCAGGAGGTTGAGGCAAGAGAATCATAAACTTGAAAGAAATCAGCCTAGGCTATGCAGTGCGTCCCTGTGTGTGTGGTGGGGGACATGACAAAACAAACAAAACCCCAAATAACAACAACAAAAATCCAAAACGTTTTAAGGACACATGTTTGAGGAAATATTTTCCATCAGTTAAAAAAAAGGGCACTTTTTTTTGGGGGGGGGGAGGCCAGTCAATAGCTGATTTTAAATGTGGGAAGGCGGTATGGTTGGGTCATAGTGGACACAAGGTGCGATCGAGAGCAGGTAGGAAGAAGGCTCAGGCTCATTTTTGTTTACAGGCAGTTTGCACTTTTGAGTTCAAAGATCATGGAACAAAAATCATTTGCTGAATTAGCTGTATCTGGTAGCTCATGGAGAAGAGTGATAAACATCAATGAATCGTCACGGAATACGCGAAGGAACAAGGATGACCTTAAATCTAGCGGTGGCTGTAGCTCTCATCTTTCAGCCCAGTATCTGGCACCTAACGGGAATTCAGAGTGTATTTAATGACTGACCATAACTAACAGGACGAAGAGGGAAGGATAATTACAAATCACCGAGAATCCACTGCAGGAATACAGAAATCGGAGGACTTCATACACTTCTTTTCAGATTTTCTGGCTGTCAGTAAGCCATGAAAGTTCTAAGTCACGATCCTGGTCTCTAGGGTGGCCCCAGATCTGCCATTTCCGGATGAATACCCACCCACCCAGAGTACTTCCGGTCTCCGGCGCTGGACGCGGCAGAAAGGTAAGTTTGCGTCTCAAGGATATACATGAACCTTGGAAGTCATTCCTGACCCGGACGGAGGCGAGTCCAGGCGACAGCAGCCCCTTAATTTTTTCGACACCGAGCATTGTGCGGTAATCATTTCTCTCGCGAAGATCACAGGCCACCAACCTCTGGCGACGTCACTTCCGGTAACCTGGCGGTTGGCCAAATTCGGAAGTGATGTCAACTCCAGTTTGTTCCGGGAGGAGTCAAGGCTGATCTTCCCATTTCCTCATTTAGCAATTGGAGTGCTCCGGAGCTGGAAAGGTGTAGTGTCTTAAAAAGAGTTGGGGATTTGGCAACTGAAAAGGCCAGTCGTCCAGTTAGATTTCAACTCACCACAACGTAATTTTTAGTTACAAATAATCCCAAATGTACCGATCATATTTATACTAAAAAAATTTCACCAAATGCCCTGCATTTTATCTGACAACTTTGATCTTGAGCATTCCTTTGTCCTGGAGTCTAATAGGGAGCCTCTAGGTTTTTGCACCTCTGTGAGATAGACTAAGTTCACCTAGAACTGAGCATTATGTTGTGTTTAGCTAAGATGCGTTTAGCTCCAAACCCTTGGGATCTCTTACTTGAAAACCGGACATCCCAAGTTGGGTGCCCTGTATATTCCTTTCACAACACAATTATTTTTTTTCTTTTCTTTCTTTCTTTTTCTTTTTTTCTTCTTTTCTTTTTTTTTTTTTTTTTTTTTGCAAGTTAGCTGTGTGCTACATGGCTAACTGGCACAGGTCTGGAAGTTGCACATGATTTAGGAGGGGGATAAATTGTTACCTGGAGTTTTCTCTGTTGGATTGGACAGAGTATCAGAAAGCCTGAGGTGTCAGGCGAACGAGTATCAGCCCTTCACTGTTATGGAGGAGTCCACAACTGATGCCCGGCGGGTGGTCTCTCCCACAGAACTGTACTTTTCAAGTTCCCTGAAAGAATTAGGCTTAATTTCATCCCACCTTGCAAATGAGCTGCTCAGTTTGAGAAAAGATATACTACACACTTTAAAAAAGCTAGCATCCCAATTCCTAAACTACTTCCTCTTCTATCCACGCTTACTGATACAGTTGTCTTCCAGCATAATGGTAGGCATTTATTCTAGTGAGTATCATTTTTAGGGGCTTTAATCTATCTCATTGGTAGAGTGCATACTTGTGACATGCAAAACCCGGGTTCAGTCTCCAGTACTCCTCTATCCCCAAATTTAGATACTTTTTTTTTTTAAGCAGATGAGTGCTTTGGTTTCATTGTCCCTGTATAGCTGCCTGACCTTTACCCCAAGACCTTTTCTGTTTTTCACTCTGTCCAGTGGGAAAATGATTGTTTGATCACAGTTAAGAGCCTGGCCTTTGCCTGCTTCGGCACTGGGCTGTTTCTGCTGTGAGTGGTGTAACTCAGAGCTTGTTTTGCTATTATGGAGCCAGAAAGGGGTGTTCCTGGCAAGGCTGACCCTGTCCAGCTGTGTGGGTAGAAGGGCATCTGTGCTGTAGAATGAGCCTCATAGCACATGCCCACTTGCATATGACCTGGGGATTGCCAAAGGGCTCACCTTGAGTCCAGTTTTGTAGCTACTCCTGATTTGTGCCCGGACCTTTTGATGAACTGGTCTCAAGTGCTGAGAATCCTTAGGTTGTGTGCACTGATAGCCGGTAGCCTTTCTACACAGAACTAGCAATCCCGGACTAGTCTTATGAGCTAATGCAATAGAGCAGGCTAGAGGTCAGTGGGCTTGGGGTCAGTTGGTGAGACAACCAACAACCTTTCTCTTCTCTCTCTCTCTCTCTCTCTCTCTCTCTCTCTCTCGCAGTAGAAATGGTAAAAAGATAAGGCAGAAATGCCAAAAGGGGCACTGCCTTGGTGTGAGAATTTAGAAGCAGAGGTTGTGGAAAAAGAGTGGGTGGTGCAGGGGACCACTGGGAGGTGAATGATTAACTCCCAGCCAGAGGAGGTGACTCAGGAGGAGGGTCCACTGAATAGGAACTTTGAACTTGGGACAGAGTGTCTAGAAGACTGGTGTGTGGCCTACAGAGGAAGAGGACGTGGCTGGGCATCAGGGCTGGGCTTGCAGGACTGGAGTAGTGTCAGGCTGCCTGTAGGCTTCATGGATTCTTAGCTTTCATTTCAGGTGGCTCACTCTTGCAGCCATGGCTTTGGAGCTCACCAGTCCTGAGGTCTCAGTAGGGTGGCAATGATGGTGGGGTTCGGTCTGTGGCCTCACTCATTCTCCTCCCTCTCCAGGCAGCTATGGATACAAGGTTGTGTTGAGAGAGGCAGGGGCATGGCTGCAGCCCTCCAGGTCCTGCCCTGTCTCTTCCGAGCTCCGTCACGTCCATTCCTCTGGGGTCCTCCGGTGGCCCGGATGTCCAGTGGTATGGCCTTGGCAGAACAGGCACGGCAGCTATTTGAGAGTGCCGTGGTTGCTGTGCAGCCAGGCCCCATGCTGCAAAGGGCGCTGTCCTTGGATCCTAGTGGCAGACAGATGAAGGTGCGGGACCGGAGTTTTCAGCTACGGGAAAACCTCTACCTAGTGGGCTTCGGCAAGGCTGTACTGGGCATGGCAGCTGCAGCCGAGGAGCTACTGGGCCAGCATCTTGTGCAGGGTGTGATCAGCGTTCCCAAGGGGATCCGAACTGCTATGGAGCACGCTGGAAAGCAGTAAGAATTTATGGGGGGGGGTGTGTGGAAGGTTGCTCTCTACTGCCCTTTGAAGGCAAACCTCTCTGTTTCTTTTTGGCCTCCCTATCTTCTGGGTCTGGCCTGGTTTCAAGATCCGCGCTGTGGGCAATCTCTTTCAATGTCACTCTACCTGTATAGCCGAGAAGTCAGGTAGGAGGAGAGGATCCCACCCCATCCCTTCCTTTTCTGCTCTCTCTTCAGAGAGATGCTGCTGAAGCCACACAGCCGCATCCAGGTGTTTGAGGGTGCAGAGGACAACCTACCGGATCGTGATGCACTGCGGGCTGCCCTGGCCATCCAGCAGCTGGCAGAGGGGCTCACGGCTGATGACCTGCTGCTTGTGCTCATCTCAGGTGTGGGTTCCAGCTTCAGGGGGTGCCCCAAATACCAGATCCTTGAGAAGTTCACCTGAGCCTCCATGGTCACAGGGCAAAGTTGGAACCAAGGGAAACAGTGAGGTGCCTAGAGGGTGCCTTGTGGGTGGTGTCAGGGCAGTCGTTTATCCTGAACTTTGATGGTGAGGGCACACTAACATGCTAACACATGTCAGAACCTTTGGAAACTGTTGCTGTATGCAACTGTATTACCTCCACAAACTGAGTTTTCAGCCCCCACAGAACTCTCTTTGGTTGTTTGCAGGTTTTTGTTTTTTTGTTTTTTTAATTGTTTTATTATTTATTTATTTATTTTTTTGGTGCTGGGGATCGAGTTTAGGGCTTTACACTGGCTAGGCAAACACTCTCCTACTGAGCTATACCACCAGTCCTCCCAGCATCTTCTGGGATGTGGAGTACCCCAGCTAGGGGAACAACTTCACTCCATGCCCACAGGGGGCACTGTAACTCCATCGTCTTAGTCCACTTCCCTGCGGTCTACCTGGTTCCCTTCACCCCAACACTCTTGCTGCTTCTACAGGTGGGGGCTCCGCCCTGCTGCCTGCTCCCATCCCACCTGTCACATTGGAGGAGAAACAGATGCTCACCAAGCTGCTGGCAGCCCGTGGAGCCACAATCCAGGAACTGAACACCATCCGGAAGGCCCTGTCCCAGCTGAAGGGTGGAGGGCTGGCTCAGGCTGCCTATCCTGCTCAGGTGCAGTCATCACGTTTTCAGCCAGCCCCGGGTTCCCCACAGGTGACAGGGAAATGAAAGCTAAGTCCAACGTACAAGTTGGCAGGGGCCTCAACGGGGAAGTCTTGGGAGGAGGCCAAAGGCGAATGAGAGGGTAAGGAAGCATGCCAGGCGGTGTGCACCCAGGACTAGTTTGTTTGTAAGGGCCCTGGGACATAGAGGAGTCAAGATTGAGCCTTAGTTTGTGTCCTTTGTTTAGGTGGTAAGCCTCATCTTGTCAGATGTGATTGGGGACCCTTTGGAGGTGATCGCCAGCGGCCCTACTGTAGCCAGTGACCACAATGTGCAAGATTGCCTGCAGATTCTTAATCGCTATGGTCTTCGTGCTGCTCTGCCACGTTCTGTGAAGACTGTGCTCTCTCGAGCTGACTCTGACCCCCGCGGGCCACATGCCTGTGGTCATGTCCTCAATGTGATCATCGGCTCTAATTCTCTGGCACTGGCTGAGGCTCAGAGGCAAGCTGAGGTGCTGGGCTACCATGCCATGGTGCTGAGCACAGCCATGCAGGGTGATGTAAAAAGTGTGGCCCAATTCTATGGGTTGCTAGCCCGGGTGGCTGCGGCCCATCTCACTTCACCCATGGCTAGGTATCTTTTGGAGGAGGAGGCAAAACTCCATCAGCTGGCAGCTGAGCTCCAGCTCCCAGACCTGCAGCTGGAGGAGGCTCTGGAAGCTGTGGCAAAGGCTAAAGGCCCAGTCTGCCTCCTGGCTGGTGGTGAGCCCACGGTGCAGCTGCAGGGATCTGGCAAGGGTGGTCGGAACCAAGAACTGGCCCTGCGCGTGGGAACAGAGCTGGGCACACAGCCACTGGGGCCTATTGATGTGCTATTTTTGAGTGGAGGCACTGATGGGCAGGATGGGCCTACAAAGGCGGCTGGGGCCTGGGTCATGTCTGATCTTGTCAGCCAGGCTTCTGCTGAAGGCCTGGACATAGCCACCGTCCTCTCCCACAATGACTCTTACACCTTCTTTTGCAGCCTCCAGGGTGGAACACACTTGCTGCATACAGGGTTGACAGGGACCAATGTCATGGATGTCCACCTCCTGATTTTTCATCCTCAGTGATGGCATAGCTCATATTTGAGAGTATATAAGGAGCTTACAAGGGCAGGGTCTCCTAGGAATATCCAGGGCTGGTTCCCAGGTCCTCGTTGTGAATTAGGAATCCCTGTTCCCTTAGCCTGGCTCCTTTACTGCTCCACCTACCTCCCTCGATCTTCTCCATATTCATTCCCCCAACAAGATTCTTCTCCCCTACTTTCTGTCATGTCAGCAGGTAGTGCTGAGGCCCAGAAGAAGCTCCAGTTCCCAGTCCTGATTTTCTACCCAGGACCCCATCTGTCCAGGTCTTAGCCTGTTTCTTCCATGGAGTGAGGCTAGGGAGCCTGAAAATAAAAAGGAGCATGTTGTGGGGTCTCAGCTCTTCTCTCAATGCTTCTCTGGTGCAGAACTCTAAGTAGCTGCTGGGAAGGGGACCATGGTGCGGTCCTAGCGCTGGTACCAGTATCTCACAGAGTTTCCCACCCCCTTCTCTGTGGGGCACTCAGGGTCTGTTGATGGAAATCTGTGAGGGTTGACTGTGGCCCCTAGCAGCCTCAATGTGGGTGAGCAGGACAGGTTTAAGGACTGTTACCTATTCAACAATGACTCCCTGTGGCAACCTGGCTGTGGTTTCTCCTCTCCTGCTGTAGCCTTGCTGGGTAGCATTTTTTCTACTTGCTACTAAGGATATACCTTCAGTATTTGGACCACTCTTAGCATTCATCCTTTATCTTACCCTCTCTTTACCAAGGGGTTTCTTCAGGCTGCAGGGCATTAAGCTTGTTTTCTCACATCCATCCCATTTCCCCAGGCTAAACATGCCATGTTCTGTACATGCCATGTTCCATGTATTCTGGGTACACAGCCAGAGTCCTGGTGCCAGTATTTCAGTATGTGTCTCCAGGACTCAAGCAGTAGGGTTCAACAGTCCTTCACCCCATCCCGTCACAGCTGTCAGAAGTGAATCCCTTGGGTTGGTCTGCAGCCACTGGTCTGGCTGTCATTGAGCTTCCTTGCTCAGTAGAGAGCTCTCCGTTGGCTTTCCTCACCGTGCGCCACGGCTCCAATCCCTATATGAGTGAGCAGTAGAATCACATAGGAATAAAAAGCCATAGAGAACAGTGAGGCCTGGGGCTGCTCCTATGGGCCCTTCTTCCACTGTGAGGGTGTGCGGGGCCCTAGGTCAGAGCTGAGGTGTCCTGGGAAGAGCCGCCCTTCACCATGGACTCTGGATGGTCTGGCTAGCAGTTGGACCATGATGCAGAGACCTAGATCCTGCATGTTCCAGGTATGGGGAGAGAGGGAGGCAAGGCAAGCTGGCTCTGTGGAATGGTGTGTACCATTTTCTTTCCTGGTGTAGAGGGTCAAAGTCTCAGGGGATTTTGTCTTTACACTGGTGTTCTGGCATCCGCTAGAGGGGTCCTGTCCCTGTATCCTTGACCGTGGAAATGTATTCCCATTGGACACCAAGTTGTAGGCAAGAACTTCAAGAGAAGAGGGCCGGGGACCAAGGACTTGTCTTTGTGTGGTGCGCATGTGGGCACAGGACACTGGTGTCAGAATGCATCTGCAGTCCCACAGGTGCTTTTCAGAGTAGGGTCGCTTGTGGGTATGGCTGCCACCATTGTCTGTTGAGGGTTTTAATATGGGCAGAACTTGCCGGAGCTCCCCTTGCCTACCTTGGTCCCTTTCCTGTATGCTTTCAGAGTCTGGGGGCCAGGGTCTGAATTGGGCCCCCTTAGAGCAAACAGTTGGTGGACTTTTGCTCACCTATGTATTTGGCCAGTCTAGATGATGAAAATATGCAAATTCCTCGCAGTTAATGCTTAATGGGACCTTCTCCCCTCCACCGATGTCAATTATGTAGTTGGGCCTGGCGACACAGGCCTATATATCCCAAGGTACTTGAGAGGTAGGAGGACTAGCCTGAGCTACAGAGAGAATTCAAGGCCAGCCTAGGCAATTAAGTGAGATCCCATTTCAAAGAGCTTTTAAAAAAAAACCTGGGAATATAGTCAATGGTTCTTGCTATTCTAGCATGTGTTAAGTCCTAGCCCAGTTCCCAGCACTAAAAAGTAAAATAAATGAATGAATGGCTAAATACACACGAGTTGTATCAATTATGGATTATTGAAGGTACTCCCTTCCTTTGGATTTTGGCTGCCAGCTCTCCTGACTAAAGTTTTTGCTGCCCAAGTCCCCATTCCATCTTTATGTGCCGATGCTAGAGGATTGTTCCATGAGGGTGTCCAGCCCTCCTTATCCTAAAGTCTCCTCATTCTTAGACCTTGGCATGAGCTGCGGGTCTGGAGAGCCTTTTGGGGTCAACTTAGCTAAACCCATTTGTCCTGTAGCTGGAGAATTAGAGAAGATGGTCTACCTGGAACAGTAGAGCAAGTTAGTCACAGGCCCAGCACAAGAACCTGGTTTGTACCTTTTTGGTCGTTCCCTGTTGCCTTTTGGGGTTCAGATACCCTGAGGTCAACCTAAGGCTCAGGCAGAGTCCTAAAGGGGATGTACCTTTGCTTTCCTTGTCCCTGAGGGGTTGGAGGACGGTCATGAGATGATACTTAGTCTCTTCAGGGATCCCTAAAGCAGATTTGCTGGTCTCTTTGTGGATGGAAGGGCAGCGTGGTGAGTGATCCGATAGGAAACCCCACGCACGTAAACTGCGAACTTCTACATAAAGGTGCGCATACACCTGAGTGCGCATGCGTAGGCGTGTGCGTCAAGCGCAACCTCCAACCAGCCACTGAGCAGGCCTCCTCCACACTGCGCCATTCCCAGGGGCAGGCAGTTTGGTGTGATTAGAATGTTGGGGATGTTGTGGAGCATTGTGGGCAAGGAGACCGTAAAGGCTGGGAGATGTAGGATGGCAAAGAGCCTCGTGGGGGAGTTAGCCTTACTCTGATAACAGAGGCAAGGTTCATGAAGATTTTAGCAGTGGGTGAAGCCAAGAGGACGTGCAGGATTGGTGCAAGAGGGCAGGGAATGAAGGTTTGTGAGAAGTTAGGAGGGTTCCAGGCGGAGAGACACAGCATGTGGCTTCCAGCACTTTCTCCCTTCTTCCCTCACCTTTGCAAGTTCCTTATGACCTCATTCCTGTAGCCTTCATTTAGCCTTGGCAACTCTGTTCTACTTTTACTTTTTTTGAGACAGGGTCACTATATAACCCTGGCTGGCTTTCAACTCACAGAGATCCATCTGCCTGTCTCCCAAGTGCTGGGATTAAAGGTACCACACACCCAGTTCATTGGCAACTCTTTAGATGCCCTCTTTGGAATCAAGATGAAAGCCCTGGTTCAAACATCTTTGGGAATAAATGAGCCCCTCTGTCCCTGGGAATGTCATCAGTGTCTTGAGGATGTGGGAGATAGAGAGACTGTACAGTTAGTGTATCCATTAGAGGGTGTGGAGTCTGTGTTCATATAAAAATTTCACTAGAATGGCACCTAAGTGAACTGGGAGACACATTAGAGTGGGAGTCAGGTTCTAGACCCTTGTCCTGGCCCCGTCACCTTTCTTTCCTCCTATTCTGTTGTAGACAGTGTTGTGCCCTGCTTACCTCTGGTGGGCGGGGTTATCTAGCAGGTGGATCTCTATGGGAAAACTCCATGCAAACAGGAAGCTTGGGGAGAGAAAGTGGGGGAAAAGGGACTAGATAGATGGGGCTGTAGATGGCAGCTCTTCCAGAGGGCCCGAGATCAGTTTCTAGCCTCCACATGGCAGCTTCCAACTGTCTATAACTACAGTTCTAGGGACCCAGCACTCGCTTCTGGTCTCTTTGAGCACCAGGCATACATGTGATGTACATGCATACATACATACATACATACATGCAGACAAACCACTTATATAAAATAAAATATTTCAGATATTAGTATCTTCCAAAGATACCTGTAAGGAGATCTTAGTTTAGAGAGGCCCCTTCTTGCCAGAAAAGGCCAAGATTAGAGCCAGCAGGACTCTGGTGTTTATGCCCTGAAGCCAAGCAAGCCACCTGCCACCTGTGTCCTCTGACATTAGAGTGACATTTGCTGACTTTTTTTTTTAAGACAGAGTCTCAGATAGCCCAGGTTGGCCTTGAACTTGAGATATAGCCGAGGATGTCTTTGAATTTCTCCATCCCCCTTTCTCTAGCTTATGAGTCCTAGGATTGCAGATGTGTGGCATCATCACAATTTTATGTGGTGTTGGGGATCAAATCCAGAGCTTCATGAATGGTAGCTGAGTACTCTGCCAACTGAGTTACATCCCAGTCCCCCGTTCTTAGTGTGTATGTGTCTGGGAGTGTCTGTCACTGAGCTCCGTCTCCAGTTCAGGAATGGTTTGAGTTCCGGGAGGTCCAGGAGCTGAGGGGGACTAGCTGGAGCGTGAGCCAGCTGCCTTTCTTGTGGGAAGGTGATCCCCTGATGTCTCAGGAAAAAAAGGCAGGGAAGCCTGCCTCTCTCTGAGTTTGGTTCATGTATGAGGAACATAGGCCCAGTTAGGGAGGAGACGGCTGGTTTGACCCCAGGCTGGGTTATGATTTGGAGTATGCTAGAGGAGGAGATAGATGGTTTGTCCATGTGGGTGGAAGGGGTGAGCCCTAACACCCAGTGACTTAGGCAGACATGAGATAGAGCTGCAGTGAGCTGTCCCCAGCCTGGGAGGGATAGTTTTCCCCCCTGGTAACCACTCATGCCTGTCCTGAGGCTTTGCTTGTCCCCCCTCCCTCTGGCTCAGGCTGGCACGTAGTGACTGGAGGGTGTGGGCTAAAAGTGAGTATTTGGTCTGTAGCAGCTATACCCGCTACATCTGGGTGCAGTGGTGGTAGGCTCAGTAGCAGCAGCTGCTGCTCCGTTAAAACGAAATTCTGGACAAGGGTGAGGGAGAATTAGCCTCTGTGAGTGTGTGCCCTAGGTGCTCAGTCCTTAGGCCACCACCCCTAGTAACTCTGATTCAGGATCATATCCACCTTCTTGGTCCGGTCCACTACTAGCCCTGGGTGTTTCAGGAGCTGTTGAATCTGGTCCTATCCCAAACAGGCAGCCTGAGACCACTCCCCCAGAATGCACCCCATTGGAAAGGTCCCCCGTGGGTCACCACTCTCCTACCCTTTTCTGGCTCTCCTGAAACCAGCAGAGCTCTTGGGACTATGAACTTTTCAGTCTTGGACCCAGTCAGAACCAGCCCTGAGCCCCAGTTGAGAAGGGGGCCCTGGCGGCTCAGCCCCTGTCCTTTCTGTCCACTCCCACTCACCACCCAGCTTTAGGCTCTAAGCTTCTTGTGGTGGCTTCAGGTTGTCCCAGAAAGTGCACTTGTAGCTTCACCCAAGAGCCAGGGCTCTGTCTCCACCTGCTTTTCCCTCCTCCCCCCCCCCCCCCCCCCAGAACCCGATACCTTTCTGTCCCTCCCAGTCCCAGCGAGTCAATTGCAGGAACATCTGTTCCCTGGCCTCAGATGCCGTTTGCAACTCTGGGGAATGCTGTGCTGGGCACCGTGTTTGGGCGGGAGCTGGTCAAAGACTCCTTGAGAAGGGAAACATGTCCCGTTTCCTATGGCTTTGTGAGTCTGAGTGAGGGTCAGTAGCTTGGAGGAAACCCGGGAGCTGGTGCTAGGGGAAAGAGCTCTGCCCCGCCCCCCTCCACCTGGGCAGAAGAAACAGCCCCAGCACATTCCGACCCACAACCAACCCCGGGACAGGCACTTGTGAGGGTCACAACCCGGTTAGTGCGGCTGACGCCCCCTGGCAATCTAGCTGCAGCCCAGCTAGAGGCAGGGAGGACTGGGCGTAGACTCAAATCTTCAGGGGTGCGCTGTTCTGGATGTCCCAGCCTCCCCTTTCACTCTGTCGGGTCCCCCAGGGTTTCCCTCAGTCTTGGGCCATCAGCAGGAGCTGGGTACCAGGGCAAGGACAGCCTGCCAGCTCCTAGCTAGCTCTTTCCCCCATCCTGCTCTTGCTGACCGATAGGGCACCTGCGGCTAGCACTCTGCTGCTTCCGTTGCCCTGGGCAGAGAAGTGATGTGGCCCGGACTGCCCAGTGTCCCCACCTGCCCGCCCCCAGGGCTTCCACTGCCCCGCGCCTGTGTCTCCGAACCCCCAGCTTACCTCAGTGGCGCTGTCTTCTCACCAGAGGCTCTGCAGTGTGGGAACTGTCCCGAGGAGCCGGTTCTCAGCTGAAACAAAGAGGTGGGGGAGAAAGAGGGGGGGCAGCGGGAGAGGGAGAGGGTGAGTGAGCAGGCTAGGAGTGAGGAGTGGAGGCTGGAGGGGGAAGAGAGAAGGGAGAGGGTGAGGAGAGAGGGGAGGACAACGAGCCACCACTGCCTCTGCCGAGAGAAAGACCGACTCGACTCCCCGAACTGGAGGGCCAAGAAAGGAGGGAAGAGGAAATGGGGAGGGGGCCAGGACGAGAGGATAGGGGAGGGCGAGGAGCCAGAACTGGTGAGGGGATTGGGGCAAGTAAGGGATGTGGGCAGAAGAGGGAGCATTGGGGGAGGAAGGACTGCAGTGAGCCGAGGGTCCCACCCCGTCCCATGCCAGGTTCTCATCTGGGAAAAAAGCTATGCAAGAAAGGGGAGGGGGGATGGCTGGGAGAGAGACCTGCCAGGCAAAGGACAAGGGCTGGTGGGCTGGCTTGGGAGGCCAGGGCCAGCCACAAAGGCTTGAGAACAAAGGTGTCTGAGGGGAGGAGTAGGACCCCTGCTGACCGCAGGTGCACCAGCCCTGAGCACACAGAGGAGTGTCCCTAATCTCCGGCAGGCAGGTTCACTTGGCTGCCCAGGCTGGAGGGGCCCCTCAAGGTCCAGGGTCTGGGGAAAAAGGCAGGGCTCCCTTTCTTTGGGAGCTCTGAGCACCCTAACCCACACTCCACGACTGACCACACATCAGGATGCTGGTGTCACTGCCTTTGACGGGGGAAGGGGAGGAGACAGTTCATCTGGAGGGAGTCCAAGGGGCCCCATGGGAGGAGCAGAGGATGGTGGGCATATGGAGGAAGCCGAGTGATGGGGACCCAAAGCGGGGGAAGAGGCAGTAAGGAGTGGACGCAGAGGGCTTCCTCACAGAGGCACCTGGACCTGAGGCCTCCCCCTCCACCCCATGTGCGTCTTGGGTTGCCTAATG